TCAGGCTCCTTTCTTGCAGTCTATTGGATATCATTCGTGACGTCATGTTTATTCTTGCAGCTCATTCGATATTATATGTGACGTCATGATCATTCTCTGTAGTTATAATATGATACTATATGTGAAGTCATGATGTTTCACACAGGCTATTGGGTATCATACGTAACGTCCTGGTCCTTTTGGTACTCTATTAGATACCATATATGACATCATATCCATTTTCGCAAACTATTCAATACCATGTGTGTGTGTGTGTGTGTGTGTGTGTGTGTGTGTGTGTGTGTGTGTGTGTGTGACGTCAGGTGCATTTTTGCATTCCATTGACTATCATTTGTGACTACATGTGTGTTGTTTCTTTCTATTGGCCATCCATTTGTGACGTCATATCCATTCTTGCAGGCTATGGAATATCATACCTGTACGTGCCTCTGATTGTCTGGGAACATTGGTAGCACTGGGTTATTGAGTGTTGGCAGCCCTGGGAGTGAAAGAGGGGAAACAGAATATACGGAAAATGTGAAGAATAATTACAGGGGGAACTAGGAGAAAAAAATGTAATGAATGGAGGAATTAGAAGGAACTGGTGGAGCGAATGTTAATGAACGAGGAAGATAAGGAAGAGGGAGAGACGATAGATTGAAAGGGAATAGAAAGCAGTAAGTAAAAGACGAGGGGAAAGAGAGAGAGAGAGAGAGAGAGAGAGATTCGTTGTAATGAGGTTATTTTTGTTGCAATTTTCGTTATTATTATCATTATTATTATCATTATCATTATCATTATAATTATCATTATTATTATTATTATTATTATTATTATTATTATTATTATTATTATTATTATTATTATTATTATTATTATTATTATTATTATTATTATTATTATTATTATTATTATTATTATTATTATTATTATTATTATTATTATTATTATTATTATTATTATTATTATAATTATTATTATTATCATTATTATTATCATTATTATTATGTTATCATTATCATTATCATTATTATTATTATTATTATTATTATTATTATTATTATTATTATTATTATTATTATTATTATTATTATTATTATTATTATTATTATTATTATTATTATTATTATTATTATTATTATTATTAGCAATAGTAAGTGAAACGTGGGTTGCTATCACCGTAGAGTTTAACGCGTCCTTCCTCGGAGCGACTGAAACAAACTTCTTCTTTATCACCAAAATAACTTTGTATAACTTTACTCTGTATTGACAAGCAAAATCCTTCTGTATGTGTGTGTGTGTGTGTGTGAGTGTATGTATGTTTCTGTGTGTGTGCGTGTATCTTGTCATGCAGATAAGGTTACGCACACACACACACACACACACACATCAAACACCAATCTCAAGTTTGATGGTTACGTGTACACACCCACACCTGCCTCATGTTGGCCAACCAGAGTTAATATGTACATAACTTGTGTGTGTGTGTGTGTGTGTGTGTGTGTGTGTGTGTGTGTGTGTGTGTGTGTGTGTGTGTGTGTGTGTGTGTGTGTGCGTAACCTTATCTGCCTGACTAGATAGAAGATACCTCTCCCTTCTTCCTCTCTTCTTCCTTCATCTCCCACTCTTCTTTCTCCTCCTTCTCCTTCCTCCTCCAATTCTTCCTCTTCCCCCTTCCCTCTCCTCCATCTCTCCTCCCCACCACCTGTCCTTTCTTCCCTGTCCCCAACTGTACCATCTATGCCAAGCTGGACCATCTGTCTTATCAGAACCCAAGCTGGGCCATCTATACCATCTGTCTCACAGTTATCAGAAGCCAATCAGAGTGCAGAACCGCCCCCACTACTACCATCCATCACTGTGACGTCATCGAGGCCCTGCCAGTTCATTTATCTCCACCAAAAACCACCAACGGGAAACCTCACTGCGGTGTTGCCAGATTAAGCTCTTATTCCATTATTCCCGTTAGTCTGTTCCTCTGACGTCATTATCCATAAGCTAATCAAATGACTAGTTGAAATGGTACTTAGCGTTGACTGGCCCACGAGTTTACATGACGTAAATGTTTGAGTTGAGTGACGTCATTAATTAGTCTCGCCCAATCAGGTGTCTGGTTTCAATGAACATAGCGTTGAATGGTCCACGGAGGGGAGGAGGATGAATTCTCTAAAATTTCCTGAATTTCTTATATCACAATTGCTGTTCTCTTCTGTATGTCAAATTCTCAGTTTTGTATTTATTTATTTTTGATTTAGCGTTTAAAGTATTCCACTGACACCTATATTCTGAAGAAGAAAAAAATTATTAAAGCGTAATATTAATATTCAACTGTGTACTAATCAGTGATAGGTAGAAGTCACATTTAGACACCTGACTGGTTGAAGCTTAATGACGTCACCGTTCCTGCACATGCGTAGTCTAAGCTGAAAGAATTAGCGTTTAAAACTTCCGAATTTATGAAATTTTGGCATCTAATATACATATGTCACATTATATAGCAAGACAATATAGTATATTTGTATTAATAAAGTATCGGACATATTTTTTAGTTGTTCGGTGCTGGATAACGTAGCTGATATTTTATTACATACCCTCTGAAAGCTTTGTTTACATCAGTCGTTCGTGTTATGCCGTAGACGAGAAATTCGGATTTATTCTAAGATATCCGTCTCTCATCAGTTGTTATTCTGTGAGTCTCCTTACCAAATACCTCTTATATATAATTTTCTTTCTTTTTTTACCCCTTCAAAATCTCTTCCTCCTTCAACACCTCCTCCTTCAACACCTCCTCCTTCAACACCTCCTCCTTCAACACCTCCTCCTTCAACACCTCCTCCTTCAACACCTCCTCCTTCAACACCTTCCTCCTCTTCTTCCTATCCCAGCCAGCGCGCGAGCTATCAGCTGATCGTCGCTGTGTAAACAAGGAATATAAACAAACAGTTCTCGACTTCCCCGCGACATCGTCAAGTCATATAAGAAACATAAGGCCGAGCTAGTACAGTATATTGGGAAATACGACCCGACCACCACAGCTTCGTGGCATTGACGACAGTTTTTGAAAATACGATTTGATTAGTTTCTGGCGAGTGAGTGTTGGTGTTGAGCTGACAGGTGAGTTGTCAAAAAATGATACTGGGGCCAATAAAAAAAAAAGTTTTTGACATACTGTCACGTGAGGATGGAGTTTTGAGTACGGAGGTTAGGGGTTTGAGCCAGGGAATTAGACCACCACTATTTACAGTTAACGTAGAGTCTCAGTGTAATTTTGAAGCCATTGCCGCTGATTAAAGAAAATAAGTTAGGTTCATTCTCACAACTTGCCAACATTTTTTAGAAGCTTAAGAGAAAGGAAGAGAGAAGTAAACCTCTGACAATTCATCCAGGATCTGTGTAAAGGTTTGTCTGTGTTTTACTTAGCTGAGGTAAGATGCGTTCTCTCTCTCTCTCTCTCTCTCTCTCTCTCTCTCTCTCTCTCTCTCTCTCCCATCCATCTACTCTTCTTCAGTACTTCCTACCTCCTTTCATCCTTCCTTTCCCTCTCCATCACTTCCACCACCTCCCTTCCTCCCTCTCTCCCTCTCTTCGCTCTTATCCTCCTCACCACCTTCTTCACTCCCTCTCTTTGCTCCTCCCCTCCTCATCTCCTTCTATTCTCTCCTCTCCCTCCCTCCTTCCCTCCGTCTTCTCCACTCTCCTCCCACCCCTAAACACGTGGACAGCTTCTGTACTACACTAAATCAATTAGATAATTGGCCAGTCAGCGTTGTGTGAGAGTTGCTTAACGACCTCCTCCCCCTTTCATGCCTTCCCCCACCCCACCTCCCACATTCACCCCTCTCCAACCTAATCTCTCTTTCATCCTTTCTCTTTGATCTCATTCTTTTCCTTCTCTTCCTCCCTTTCTTCCCTTCATCTTACCCCCCCTTCTCTCTCTGTCTCTTTCTCCCGATACAAATTAAGTATAACTACTCGTAATTTAATGACTTTAAAATTTCGTTATGCTTACAACTAATTCGACTTCTTAGTGGCTCAAATTATAAATATAATGTAAACTAAATTATATACGTCAAATGTAATTGGTATCTACATATGTACAACTAATTCCGGGTTTTTAAAGGTTTCCAAATTTTTCAATTTATGTATATGATGCTACGTTGTCGGGAGAGCTACCGGCAGATCCAAGGGACCCTTCATACAGGCAAGCTATCGCGAGAAAGTTTGCTTGGTAACTCCTGCCACTAACGAGGTGATTCTGGTGGCTGGTGGAGAGAGATAGAAAAAAAGCATGGTGTAATGAAACTGTTGTTAAATCACTGCCACTCACATACGTTCCTCTCTCTCCCTTACTCTCCCTCTCTTTACCTCCCTCTCTTCACCTCCCTCTCCTCCCTACCTCTCTAGCTTTCTTTTCCTTGTCTCTCTCTCTCTCTCACCCCTTTCCCCCTTATACACAACCTCCCTCACCCGCCCACACGCCCACACACTTGGCAACCGTGACTCTGGCTGACTCAGCTCTGGCTCTCCTCCAACTGGACCAACTGACTCACTCATCCTGACCACAGTGACTCAAGAACTCCCTGAGGAGACCTCAACGACCGGTGTAAACACTCAGCGAGTCTTAGATGTCATGATGGTCGACACACGTTGGTGGAGATGTTTTGATGGTCGACACACGTTGGTGGAGATGTTATGATGGTCGACACACGTTGGTGGAGATGTTATGTTGGTCGACACACGTTGGTGGAGATGTTATGTTGGTCGACACACGTTGGTGGAGATGTTATGTTGGTCGACACACGTTGGTGGAAGTGTTATGTTGGTCGACACACGTTGGTGGAGATGTTATGTTGGTCGACACACGTTGGTGGAAGTGTTATGGTGATTTTCACTGTCTCTATCTCTCACTATTTCCACTTGTTCCTCAGAGAAAGAAAACCAGAACTAACGGCCCCTTCAAAATAAACTCCTCATATCTCTCATTATCTCTATCTCTCACCATCTCCATTTCTCTCTCATAGACGACATCTCACAAGAAGAAGATGCCAGACTGATGGACGAACGCCCGGTGTTAGTCTTACCAGCGGCGGCCCGGGCAGTGGAGTGGGTGGTGGGACAGAGGCGAGCGGACTGGGGATGGGGTAGCGACACTGCCCACACACTCCTCGCTCTCCGCCTCGCCAATGCCACCTGGTTCGCCCCGGAAAACCTCGATGCACAACTCTCCACCAAGCAACTTGAGTTGGAGTTGGTACTGAGGCTGTGGAAGTAAGTATTGGTGGGTGAGAGATGAGGCGTAGAGAGGGGTGAGGGAGAAGGAGGGACAGTAGAGAAGGGTGGGGAGGGGAGATAGAGATGAGAGGGAGGTGGGGAGGGGGTGAGTTTAAAAGAGAGATGTGAGGGTAGGGAGGAGAGGACAGAATGAGTTGAAAGTGGTAATACATACATACTGTACATACATACATACATAGGCTACATACATATCAATGACCAGTTAGCCCAGCTGACTTTTGACCTCCTGGCAGGCACCGAGAGCTGCCCCTCACCACGGGTCACCTGGCGGTCAACGTGATGGCTCTGGTGGCACTGTGTCGGGACCCAAGGGCCTTCTACTCCAAGGACCTTGTTGGTGAGTACGTTGACCTTGTTTGAGCTTGTTTAACCTTGTTTAACCTTGTTTATCCTTCGTTGACCTTGTTTGAACTAGAGTGACCTAACCTAACCATACCCACATCATAACCACCACGTCCACATCCATCACCACCACGCCCACATCACTACCACCACGTCCACATCATCACCACCACGTCCACATCATCACCACCACGTCCACATCATTACCACCATACCCACATCATCATCACCACGTCCACATCATCATCACCACGTCCACATCATCACCATCACGTCCGCATCGTCACCACCATCATCATCGCCGTCCACATCATCATCACCACGTCACATCATCACCATCACGTCCGCATCGTCACCACCACGTCCACATCATCACCACCACGTCCACATCATCACCACGTCCACATCATCTGTCGCCGTCCACATCATCACCACCACGTCCGCATCATCACCACCACGCCCACATCATCAACACCATCCACATCATCACCACCACGCCCCATCATCGCCACCATACCCACATCGTCACGCATCATCTATGCCACCGTTCACATCGTCACCACCACGTCCCATCATCACCACCACGCCCACATCATCACCACCACGCCCACACCATCACCACCACTTCATCGTCTTCACGTCCACATCATCACCACCACGCCCACATCATCACCACCATACCCACATCGTCACCACCATACCCACATCATCACCATCACGTCCACATCATCACCACTACGCCCACATCATCACCACCACGCCCACATCATCACCACCACGTCCACATCATCACCACCACGCCCACATTTTCCACCAATAAAGTCTAAATTGCCTTCAGAAATCTTGTTACGCCCAACAGCAGGAAATTTCGGTCACGTTCTTGTGTTATGAAGTGTTACTGTGTGTGTGTGTGGGACCTATAATATGTTCTAGTATGTATACAAACATAAGTACGTATAATATATATGAAGTATATATATGTACCTCGCGTTTCATACCAGCTGGATTCGGTAAAATGCTACTGACACCACATAAGAGGCACGGGCAGTTTCCCAATGAGGTTCACGGCGCCATCAACTCGGTGAACAGGCTTTGTGTGAAATATAACAGAGTCTAGGACTGCTTTTAGTGTCCTTGTGGCCTAGCCGGTAAGCGTTCCCTAGTCCCACCCAGTAGGTCGAGGGTTCGATTCCTTGCTGGTGAGGTCGTTGATTATATGTGTGTGTATGTGAACAAAGATGGGAATAAGGTAGATAAATAAGCAATAACTATAATAAAAAACAAGTAATAAGTTAAGAAATAACGAACAAAAAAAATAACAATAACAGATAAAGCAGAACAAACACACATTATCTCTCAGCATTTTGGGAATTACTGTAGAGAAATTCCTTCTCTCGTTGGACTTAGGAATCAACAACCAATATGAGCAGACGGGAATCTTTGGAATTGTATTACTCATTCCAACAATAGTCTTTTGGATTCCCAGCTGGGATTCTCGTTTTCTTTTTCACTTGTATTTTAGAAAACGGATCCTTTGTTGGTATAATAATAATAATAATAATAATAATAATAATAATAATAATAATAATAATAATAATAATAATAATAATAATAATAATAATAATAATAATAATAATAATAATAATAATAATACTCTCCTTTTCTCATCTCTTTTCTCCACTTTTTTCTTAATGGTGATTGGTCCATCATCAGGTGGCACACAGCCAATCAGGAAGAGGCTAATGAAACCGTAGTGCCTCTCTCTCTCAAATAAGTACAAACATGACCGAAATTGACGAATCAATTATATAATCGGCCGCCTTTTAATATTAAGAGTCAATTATACAAGAGGAGGGAGAGAGTAGAGGTAGGGAGAGGTGTGGGTGGGGTGGTCGTGATAATTATGCACAGTTTCATTAAAATTAATCTATAGGGATTAAATTATTATTATTATTATTATTATTATTATTATTATTATTATTATTATTATTATTATTATTATTATTATTATTATTATTATTATTATTATTATTATTATTATTATTATTATTATTATTATTATTATTATTATTATTATTATTATTTTATTATATACTTAGCGAAAACTATATAATACAGGAAAACTATTTTGAAGATTATCTTAAGTTAGAAGTTAATTAAGAAAGGTGGACTTAGACGTTAATCCAGGTAGAGAGAGAGAGAGAGAGAGAGAGAGAGAGAGAGAGAGATAGGGAGAGGTGGGGCAAAGAAAATGACGTAGAAAGAGACGTCACGGCAAGGAAGAGAAGAAGAGGAATGGGAGGAGGGGAGAGGCAGATAAAAGGGGGAGATAGCAGTAAGCCCCGTAGAGGGAGAAGTAAAGATAAAGAGATAAAAACGGGAAGCAGAACAAAAAGCAAGAGAAGGACTGGAAAAGTGAATGAGACAGACAGACAGACAGACAGACAGACAGACAGAAATTGAGAGAAAGAGACGGGTAGACGGAGAGAAAACTTATCTCGGTGGAAACAGAAATATAGTTAAGTGTCTAATATAAAAATAAATCTCAAGCTATGAAACTATTTCTCTTAAGATAGAGATTTTCTTAGCACCAGGAAATATGTATCGTAGACATGGAAATATTTCTTACGATGAAAAATGTGGGGGAGGGGAGGGAGGGGGGCAGTAATCCCCAGGTGGCCGCTAAATCCGGGGCTGTTGTCTTTGTAAACCTTGTGGGTAGGGTGATGTGTGTGTGTGTGTGTGTGTGTGTGTGTGTGTGTGTGTGTGTGTGTGTGTGTGTTGGCCATATTCGAGCACAAGTGTAGATATAGTCAACCTTATCTCAACCTGTGTGCCAGACGTGACGTAACCGGGTCAGGTCACATGACCACACCAGATCATTGTTATATAAGTTCTTCGTTAATAGCAGGAAGTAATTAAAGGTTCTAAGTTGTTATGTAATGAGAACGCCATTAAGAACAAGACAGACAGAGACAAATTATCTTATGATGGTAATTAGAGAGGAAAACCATTTAATAATTAAATGTATTACCTGATGGGGGTAATTAAAGAGAAGGGTCAATGTATTTAGATATAATAGAAATGACTTAGGTTACTAATTAGAGATCATTTTCAATTTATCTTCAGGTGGTCTTCAAACAGCTGGGAAGTTCTTAATTAAGTGAGAGACAGGTGGGAAAACCTTGCCACGGTGACCAGACCTGCCACCTCCTCAAACTTTATCTCACTTATTTTACTTTTTTATACTTTTTCTAAGTTCCGTTTTACTTTTTTATTTATATTTTGTAATTTTTACTTAGTTTTTTTTTCTTTCTTGTATGTTGTTTATACCGTTTTGTTTAATCTAATGGTACCTGGCCGTAACATAACATAACATAACATAACTCTTGATCTCTCCGGCAGCCATGTTGGGCCACCAGGAGGGAGGAGTGGACTTCGAGGTGGCCTTTGCTCAGCTGGCCACCTGTACAGCTGGCCATCACGTCCGTAAGTCCAGGATCCGTCGCCTTGTTGAAATGAGCACCGAACGTAACAAGATCCATTCAATTGGTAAGTTAATGAGTGTTGTGTTGTGTTGTGTTTTGAGAGAGAGTAAGAGACACAGAATAACAGAGAGAGAGAGAGAGAGAGGAGGGGGGGGGATCAGAACGTAGCTTTGGTCAGATAAAGCACGCCTCGCCCACAACACTGTCCCTTATCAGTAGCGAGTGTTGATGAACCAAGTTGTTGACGGTCTGACGGGCTGATACTGACCCTTCCTCTCTGTGTGCTGACGGTCACTGCTACGTCTTTTAGTGTCAGCACTGCCAGCAATAAGGATCACAGTGATAAAATGCTGACGCTCTAGGAAGGCGGAGGCGGGGGGTAAGAGTGAAAGAAGAAGGAATGGTGAAGGAAGGGAGGAGGAAGGGTGAAGGAAGGGAGGAGGAAGGGTGAAGGAAGGGAGGAGGAAGGGTGAAGGAAGGGTGAAGGAAGGGTGAAGAAAGGGTGAAGGAAGGTTGAAGGATGGGAGAAAGAAGGGTGAAGGAAGGGTGAAGGAAGGGTGAAGGAAGGGTGCTCTGGCCTGTATCTCCCCTGAAGTGTTATTATGATTACATTATTATGGTTCCTCGGCCCCACTATAATGGTGCTAATGTCGGCTGCTCTATAGTGGAGTGCCTTATTTATCTCTCTCTCTCTCTCTCTCTCTCTCTCCGTTTCCCTCACTCTACCTGCCTCTCCGTCTCCCTCACTCTACCTGCCTCTCCGTCTCCCTCACTCTACCTGCCTCTCCGTCTCCCTCACTCTACCTGCCTCTCCGTCTCCCTCACTCTACCTGCCTCTCCGTCTCCCTCACTCTACCTGCCTCTCCGTCTCCCTCACTCTACCTGCCTCTCTGTCTCCCTCACTCTACCCGGTATTAACACCCTCAGATACACTGTCGGTGGTCATCTTGGCTCTCCACTGCGCTCAGCACCAGCGGCGTCATGACCTGAAACACTTCATCGACCAGGCTGTACACACCCTCCTGCACCATCAGGCAGCCGACGGCTCCTTCAATAAGAATCTTCACTCAACCGCCCTCGCCCTGCAGGTTAGTTAGGGGCTTCTTCAGGTCATTTACAGGTATTTATTTTGGGATCAGAGAGAACTCGTTTACAGGTGAACGGAAGACATGTCTCTCCTAAATCTTAATGTTTATTTTCTACTGATGAATCTACATCGAGTATGTGGTTAAAGGACTTAAATAACAACAACAAAGAAAGATTTATAATAATATTAAATAATACTGAATAACAACAAGAGTTTTTAATAACATTGTATAAGAGCGAATAACAATTTAAGGGCTTTAATTTTCCTGCCATGTTTCGTCATTTACATATTAATAAGATAAACAAGGATTAAATTATCTGCCTGTGATGTTGGTGTAGGCTCAGAGGTGATTGGTCGAGGAGAGCAGCAGGCCATGCATAGAGAGTGGCTCCCTGATTGGTGGAGAGGAGCAGTATGGTTCTATGATTGGTTAAAGACTTTGGGATATTAATTGTACAAAAGAAATCGGGTCTCTGATTGGTGGAGAGAAGTAGCATTGCACTTTGACTGGTGGAAGAGGTTAAGACATTCCTTAGGGAAAAATATAAGCTCTGTGATTGGTTGAGAAGAGAGAGATATTGATTGGTCAAAGAGGAACAAATGTACTCAATATACTTGAAGAGGGTGATGCGTTGATTGGCTGGTGGTGGATAAATAAGGTATTTTGATTGGCCGAGAACGAAGGAAAAGAGAAAGAGAGAGACATGTGAAGAAATGGAGAAAGAGAGAGAAAGAGCAATTAAAAGAATGGCTTTACTCTCCCTCTGTGGGAAGTTTTTGTCTCCAACTCATTAATGATAATTCACCGTCCATTTTATGCCTCAACTTCTCACAAGTCATCGAGTGGTTGTCACTTTTATTGGGGTTTTATTTTTGATGTGGATATTTTATGTTTTTTTGCGAATTATTTTGTTGTTCTGAGGTGATGAATGATGTTGTGTATGTTTATTAGGTCACGTGTACACATGTGAGTTAACCTGTGTGTGTGTGTGTGTGTGTGTGTGTGTAATTTTCCATTAATCACACATACACACACAAGCAAGCAACAATAACTACAAGCATAAGTTTCTCCACACGATAAAATAACTGGTTAGTACTTCACATTTTTTTCTTATGTTCACCCTCGCCTACTTTGAGAGGTCGCCTGAAAACTGGCTTCCAAAAACGTCACAGTTAATTAAACTTTGGCGTCATTTCCTCACACTTGTGTGGCGATGGTACGTGATGCAGTGGAGTAATAACGTGTGTGAGAGAGAGACAGACAGAGAGAAATATGTAGAGAGAGAAGTGAGAAAGAAAGTGACCACATATCCTGAGAATTAGGATAGGGGTTGGGGGGAGGGGTGATCCTCAAATTTCCCATATAGGAGAGGGGTATCGTCACTATGCATTATGTAACTCTCTCTCTCTCTCTCTCTCTCTCTCTCTCTCTCAAAACTCTTCCTTCACCTCCCGTAGGCAATGTTGTCGAGCCAGCTGGCAGGGTCATGGAACGCCACCCGAGCCCAAGAGTATGTCATGTCTCACCAGCGTCCGGATGGCTCTTTCGGCAGCCTCTTCGACACCAACGCCGTCCTTCCGCTGATGGGAGGACGCACCTTACTAGACGTGGCTCTCAGACGGTGTCCAAGAGTCACCCACGACACCATCGACAGTGAGGACGCACCAGGTTGGTCACCCCACTTATTAAATGGTTTTCTATAAAATTTCTTGATGTTCGTTTTCTTCTATGTTCTTATATCAAGGGAAACTTTTTTATATGTTGTATCTCGGCTACACGTTCTCAGCTACACGTTCTTAGCAGCACATCTTCAACAACACATCTTAAGCATATGCTTAGCAACACCTCCTCAACAACACATACTCAATACATCCTCGGTAACACATCCTTAATTACATATGCTCAGCAACACCTCAGCAAATCATCTTCAACACCTCCTCAGCAACACATCCTCAACACATCCTCAGCAACACATCCTCAGTTACATACCTCCAGCTACATACCCGCAGCAACACCTCCTCAGCAACACATCCCCAACACATCTTCAGTTACATACTCTCAGCAACACACCACACACCACACCATCTCAGGATAGGAAATAATTGTCATTCTGAGACTCGTTCGCCGAGATATTCTATGTTTTGTTTTTACACGGAAACTGAGGAACGAGATAATGTATTTAATTAACATGGGAGTCTCAGTGCAATTTTCTCGCCATTTTGGAAGTCTTCTCTTTTATGTTAACTGCTTCATTGAGTTTAGGTCCCTATGAGTATGTTTGGTTTAAGTATTTTCTTTATACATGCTGAATTAATGTGCATGTTTGTCGATCTATCTATTTATCTATCTATCAACCTATCTATCTATCTATCTATCTATCTATCGTCACAGCCTTATGTAGGAGGACAATATTACCGTTTGATGCTGTGAGAATATTCATTAAGTAAATAAACCAACATTATCAGTATCTGGTTTAGGGAATAGTTTATCTGTTTTAGGGAATAGTTTATCTGTTTTAGGGAATAGTTTATCTGTTTTAGGGAATAGTTTTATCTGTTTTAGGGAATAGTTTATCTGTTTTAGGGAATAGTTTATCTGTTTTA